GACAGCGCCAGTGAGGGCTGCACCAGCTCAGGAAAGGCTGTCACGCCAAGCAAGGGAGACATCAGAGCTCTTCTCTGCAAGCTCCAGAGACGCTCACGTGGGGCTCACTCATTTTGAGAGTCAAGGTTGGAGGAGCACAGAAACAAGGAACGTGGAGTACATTGAGAGGATAATAAAACCGGAGGGTCTGGAGAAGCAAGTATAGTCCTAGTATTAGGAGAGGGCTGTCAGGACCGGTGTCCACTGGGTCTCCCAAGAACTAGCGCCAAGAAGTCCTAGCCAAATGTTAACTTTAAAAGGACCCTTTTCCTATTAAAGACACTATTTTGGGGAGATGAAAAGAGGTAGGAGAGCCCATCATTCACACTTGGTTTAAAAAAGAAAAGGAAAAGGCCATGGGCTTTAAACATATGTAAAACTCACAGTCCTTTGAGAAATGATGTACAAATGTGCTTTACACAATTGAGGTGTGTATGGATTGGGATAACAGTTGTATGAGCCCCTAATAAAATGTTAAAAAAACAAACAAACAAAAAAAACCTCACAGCCCCTCTCCTTCCTTCCTTCCTTTTTTTAATATTTAAAATAACTGCAGAAATCACTCACTCTGCATATTATTATTAGTGTGATCCAACATAGCCTGGAAAGGGAAACAAATAGTAAATCAAGACTCCACTCATCCGCAGGCTGTTTCTGCCCTACCTTCCTGTTTAAAGCCCTGAGGATGAAATCCAACTGCGCAAGAGAAATGCCATGCAGTAAGCGTTCTTGCAGTGGCGGTCTTTTGATGTAAAGGTGAACATTTAAGAGCATACAGAATCTGCTCTCGGCCTGTGTGGTTCCAGTAACTCTGTACATAAATGCCGCCCAAAGTATCTCCCAACCAACTTATCCCTTACGTTTGCAATCAGCTCCATGACGCTGGTCTTCAGAAAGAACTTCTCCAGCCGAGTCATGCTGTTCCACCGAAACCTGCCCACCAGGGGGAGAAGGAAAGAACCAGGTCAGAAGTCTACTCTTCACAGGAGACTCCCTCGGCTTCCTGTCAGGATGTGCTGCCAAGTTCATTAAGAAATTACACTTTGGATCTTGTGCCCGTCTACCATTGGACAGAGAGTTCACATTTAGCCAAATTGCCAACAGCAGAAAAATTCCTGGGAAAGGTTTTCTACATGCAGCGGTTGTTCATTAAAATCCACATAGGGTTTATGCACAAACCAAGTGCCCCCCCCCGCCCCCCGAGATCTTATTATTGAACAGAATAAAAGCAAACATACACCTGTGCCAACTCCAAGTATATAGCTGTTCTTCCAGAAAATACAATCTTGATACTACCAACCACCTTAGGATGCTGATTTACAAGGTAATAGTAGCTCCCTTCCAACTGTGATGAAGTCTTACAAGGTGAGTTCTATAGAAGGTGTTGAGGATGAGGGGGCGTGGGGTGGTGCTACTCAGGTTAGAGTGTTCAGTTATTTCATACAATCACACTTTGGATGTGCGATTCGGAAAAGGGAACACTTGTTAAACTTGGATTGGTGGTTCGAGCCCACCGCAGCTTGGAGAAAGGGAGAAAGATGAGGTCGTGTCTTTCTGTAGAGCTGTGGCCTCAGAAACCCTATGGGGCTGCTGGACCGATTGAGAGTGGGTTGGTTTGGGATACACTGCACAATTCTAAAAAGGCTTGAGAGCCTGCTGACCCATAAAAGGAGCGCCATAAAAGTTGGTTGAATGACTAGCAACTAATATTTTGTGATTGCTTCCTATAGAGCAGGCACTCTACACAGATGCAGAAAATGAAGAGTAGAAAGTGCAGTCCTGAATAAGAGTTCCCACGAGCTTCTGCTAACCTCTTGGGCATCATTCCTTTTTTCCCCCCTCTGGGACTGCGCTTTTCTATTTATCTAAAGAACATCACCGAGCCATCTAAAATGGAAGATTTGCCCTCTCACATACTCCAATGGTCAAGCCCAAAGATGTCTTACTTGACAACGTGTTCCAGGATCTGAAGGCCAAAATGCCTGACAATGGCAATCTGGGTTTTCTCAGCCAGCCTCAGGCCACAGTGGACACAGATGGGGCATTTTTCTTTAAATTCTTCACAGAACTGAAAGAGGGAAAGTTAGGGTTCCTCTTGGGAACTAACAAAGACTGGAGACTAACTAAGCAGTATCTTAGGAAATAGCTTAAGTTGTAAAAACAACAACAAAAACCAAACAGGTCAATATTATTTGAATAAAGAAGCAATAAACATTTCTTGCACTTTGATAAGGTACTTTGGTGGTATAGTGGTTTATTGATTGCACTTCTAACCACAAGGTCAGTGGTTCAAACTAACCAGCTACTCCAAGGTAGAACCATGAGGCTGTCTATGTCTTGCAAACCGACAGGAGCAGTTCTATTCTATCCTATAGGGTCATCATGCTTCAGACTTGACGATGTCAGTGAATTTGGTTTTCAATTTGGGGGTTCTGGATTTTCTAGGGTATGATCCTACTCATACTTTAA